TGACTGATGCAGATCCATCACTTGTGCTTTGGCTTGCAGTAACCATTTCCCATTTTTCCAGGCATGAATGACAGAACCAGGACCAGGCTGCACCTCCCTGTTTGTGTCAGACACTTGGGTGGCTCAGCCCAATCACCTTCCATACAAGGTTTCCATAAATTCACACTGGGAACACCTCTGAGCCACGACTCCCACCCCACAGGGTGTCCAGCAGCTGAGCTGCTCCTTGGACAATGACTGTCCCACCTGCAGCCCACCAAAGGTGCCCAAGCCACTGCTGCATCTCCCTCCGCCATCCCCGTGGCACCATGAATTCCCTGCACTCAAAACCACCCCCCTCACTTACAGAACTCAGGATTTGAACGTCAAAACCTCAGGATCACCACTACCTACACAAAAGGGGAGGGAACAAGAACACCCCGAGCTTCATTCCAGAAGTACAGCAAGAGAGCCTGGTCCTCCCTGTGGGCCTTTGGCTGGCGAGCTCCGGAGGTGGGAACATCTTGCACACCTCCTGCTGCCAAGAGATCATCTGCACTTAATCACCACGATGGATACCTCTGGAAAACAAGGGATTGCAGCCACACCATGTGTCACACTGCCACTTCACTCCCCAGCCAGTGTCACTTCCTCAGGGCGGAGGCCACAACTTTCAAGAGCACGCCCGGGTGCTCTGTGAACACTCATAAATAAATAAAACCCTTGCTCACCAGCCCACAACCTGCCCCCAGCACTTTTACTTTCCCAAGAGGTCACACCCAGGAACATCTTGCACAATAATGGAAGCAGGAATTGGTCAAGAAACCTATAGATCCCCTCCCCAAAAAGCCAGCCTCCCTGTGTGACCCCGACTGGGTGGCTCAGGAGTCTTCTCTGTGAAATAACAGGCTGGCAGCTCCCGGAAATGATGATCCTGTGCACTGTCTGCTTGTTTTACCGAACTCATTCCTAAATGCAAACGGGATTTTTAAGTGTACATTACACATTAGTTGATCTTAATCTACAAATTCGTAACCCAGAAGTGTGCATTTTTCAGTGTACATTACTTGAGCTGATATAAATCTACAAAATCCTAACTCAAAAGTATGTTTCTTCTAAAAATGAGATTTTTCTGATCACAATATAGCCCCTCAGAGAATAAAATTATTCAAAACCACGTAGATTCAGAGAAAAAGCCCAACCAACCATTTTGCTTCTTTTCAAGCAGTTATTGACATGGTTTTCTCTAGTTTTAAAGACTAGAGGAAGGAGAAAAAGGGTCATATTTGGTTGTGGGCTGCCCTCACCAAGAACTCCCGTCCGTGCCATGGTGAATAAATGGACCAAAATTACACCCAACGAACAAGTCAAGCATGACATTTTTCAAAGCAGCCCCTGCTCAGCTCAGGTCTGTTCATTAAGGTGCTGCATTGTGCTCCAGCTTGGCTTATTAGCAGTGGAAAGGTCAGGGAAAGTGAATTAATGGAAGTGCTGCGCTCTCCAACATCTGACATGCGAGAGAGGAGCCTCCCTACCTACACTGCTCCTGAAAGGTACCTTCAAATTGAGGGCATGTAGGTGGCACCTGCCAAAAGTGCCATGTGAATAACGTTGGCAATTTAACAAATTCTAGGAAAATACAGAGAACTGTAAAAGCAGCAATTCAACCACTCAAAGCAAATGCTTGTGCTGAGATTACAGTTGAAAAAGCAGCTTTTTCACAGGGACAGGGGAAAGGATTTAAAGCTCTTTCCTGTAGGTCTCAGCAGGGTTTTGTGTCCAAAAATTCAAGGCTTATTTGACCCACAAAGAACTCCAGGCTCACAGTTAAGCCACCTCTGCTTAACCTCTCCTGGCAGTGAAGATATGGGTTTAAAAGTTAAATTTAGACTGTGTCCCTTCAGTACACGGCCACACAAACATTTAGTGCTGCTCAGGGCCATGCAGACCCACCTCACTCTCAGGGAGGACAGGGCAGGAGCTGGGTGCTCCCCACCAGCCCCACCTCCCCTTCCCAGGCCAGGTCACACAGCAGGACAAATCCAAACTGGCTCTGCTGAAATCCTCTGGGCAAACCCCACCTGGAGAGCCACCCAGCTGCTTACAGAGCCTCCAAAATCTCTGTTTAAATAAGAGAAAGGGCTCCAGCAGAAGTCAGCAGACCCACAAGCCACAACTCTGCTTCTTTAATGCTGCATTGAACCATGGCATTGTTTGGGTTGGAAGGGACCTCAAAGCTCATCCAGTCTCACCCCCTGCCATGGCAGGGACCCCTTCTGCTATCCCAGGCTGCTCCAAGCCCTGTCCAGCCTGGCCTTGGGCACTGCCAGGGATCCAGGGGCAGCCACAGCTGCTCTGGGCACCTGTGCCAGGGCTTGCCCACCCTGCCAGGAACAATTCCTTCCTAATATCCCATCCAGCCCTGCCCTCTGGCACTGGGAGCCGCTCCCCTTGTCCTGGCACTCCATCCCTTGTCCACAGTCCCTCTCCAGCTCTCTCAGAGCCCCTGAGGGATGGGAAGAAGCTCTGAAGGTCTCTCCAGTGTCTCCTCTCCCACAGGCTGAACAACCCCAGCTTTCTCAGACTATTCATCCCCCTTGTACGTGGCTTCCCCTCACCAGGCCCTGCTTCATAACACACCAGCTTCTCAACCTAAAAGCCAACATTTCCATACCCCAGGACCCCATGGAAAGGGTCCACAATGACCAACACCCTAAAGACCCAATGTACACTGCACTGCCATAGGGTTACCCTCCAGCCCCTCTGATCTGGAAGGGATAAGCATTGAAACACCCAGGAGAAAAGGCAGCAAGCTCAGAAGAACACTTCCTGCAGAGAAACATCTTCCTGGTGGAACAGTGAGCTCCATTCCCCCCAGAGCAGCAGGACCTGAGAACTGTTTGTGAACGCATTTCAGAGCATTAACAGAAAAACACTGAGCAGTTAAGTGAAGTCACGTTCCACCTAAACAACACTGCCATTATTGCAGCATCTGACTTTCCGAGGACAATTCAATCCTGGCAGCATGGATTGTAATTGCTTTTCCACTCCAGGCCTCGCTTTACAATCCTGCCCTTCTCGGGAGGTCAGAGCGCGCTGCAGCTCGGAAAGCAATTCTGTTCCTCATTCATCCCCTTAATCCCACACCTGCATATTCATCAGGAACTCCCTGAAACACCACTGCCAAAGCCACCAGCAAAGCTGCTGCTCGGAGGAAGCCTTGACCCCTCTGCTTCCCTGGGAAGGCGCTGGGAACGCGAGGCGGCGGCGTGACGGAGCTGGGGTGCACTGGGGTCACCCGAGGCCAGGACAAGCCCAGCGTGGTGCAGCCACTCCTGCTGCCAACAGCAAAAACAGCAGCAGGCACCACTGCCCAGACAAGCTGTGGCTGCCCCACCCCTGCAAGTGTCCAGGAAAGGTTGGTGGAGCAACCTGGGATAGTGGGAAATGTCCCTGCCCATGGTGGGGTTGGAGCCAGATGTGCTTTAAGGTCCTTCCAAGCCAAACCACTCCATGATTCTGCGATGACCTGGCTTGCTTCAAGCAAACCCTTCCCAACACACCTGAATTTTGGGTAAGTTTTTGTTAGCCTGGTTTGAAAAGGACAGTTTGCATTCAAAAAACCAAACACCGCTTACTCCAAAACTCGGGAGGAAAAACCTTTGTCCCCAGCTAGGAAATAAAACAGGCAGCAAACAGCAACCAGCCTGATTTATAATTGATGCCAGGGCTGAGCTGGGCTTTTCAGGGCCCTGCAGAGCTCCCAGGAAGGAGGGCAGAGCTCCTGCACACGGCAGGAAAAGGGCTCACACCTGATACACTTTAATTACCTAAGGACACTGCCAGACTCACCGATGCCTGCTCTGCTTTGTCTTACTGTGAAAGGCTTCTCCTGCTATTAATATTCACCAGGGGAAGCTGAAATAACATCTTGTCTGCATCTGAATACTTCAAAATCATCATGGCCACACTAAAGACTGATTTTTAATTTTTTTTTCCTCAAAATCCAGGACAAAAGACACCTATCAGCCTGCAGAGGCAGGGCTGCACTACACGGAGCAGCTCACCAGCAGAGCCTCTCTCGTGCTGCCAACCTCATCACAAATAATCCCTCTGAACCCAGAGGTCAGCCAAGGACCCAGGGCCTCAAGGCAGGAGCCACACTCTCTATTACCCACTGGGAGCCTTCTCCATAGGATTTCTGGCCATGCTGGGGTGACCCTGAGCCCCACAGAGCTCCCCTCGACAGGCTGAGCCCACCCAGCTTCTGCTGGGCTCCCACCACACCAAACCAGCAGCACAGCAGGAAAACCCAGCCAGAACAACCCCCCTGTCTCCAGCTCCAGCCACACCATCGGGATCTCCAGGACAGCACCAGCCTCTCCCACCCGCTCGCACAAACAGAGGCAAAAATCTCATTTTTCCCCCTAAATTCCGCTCTACGACAGCCTGTTATTTCTGCATCTGTTAATGCTCCCAAAAAGTTGAATCCTAACATTACATCCAAGTGTAGTCTCAGCAGATTGGGAGGTTTTTCTGCCCAAAATGAAACGTAGGTGCCATCTGTTTCAATTAGGCTAATCACAAGGAGACATAACACTGGGAAACTTAGAGACTTTGGGTTTTTTTCAAGACATTTTGAAAGCAAAGAGAAAGGAAGAGGTATTATTTAATACTCAGCAGTCAGCAGCACCAACAAGCTGCACAGTCTGCTGGGCAAACCTGTGCTGGAACTGCCCACACAGGAAAGTTCACTTTTATTTCACTGAGGTCAGAGAAAAACTTGCTATATTCAAAATTATCTAAAATTAAAAAGACATCTCAGGACTACAGACAACTCCCAAAATATTCCTGGTTAGTACCTTTTATACATGCCATAGAACTTGCCATTTTTTGCTTTCAAATTTCAGAAAATAAAGAAAAACATTTTAAAAAGGCAAAACCAAACAGTCCAACAGCGACACAAGCACTTGTGAGGGAATAAACCAGAAATTTTGGACAGAAGCAAAGTCAATATTTACCGATTCCATAGTTGAAAGCTGTTCTTCACAGGACATATATTAAAATCCAACAGAGGCGTGTCCCAAAAACGCTGTGTAATCTGAAAAACACAGCAATTTGTTCATTAGAAAATTAAAACAAGTGAGTTTTATTCACAGCACGCACACTGGATTTGAGTACATGAAGGTTACCAAGTACAAACCCTTGCCTAATCCACAAATAAACTTCCTGATAACCACTCTGCATAAACAGAGGAATAAAGGAAAGAACGGAAGCTCGGCCAAGCATCCACCTTCTTCCATAACTTTCTGATAATAGCTTTCTTTAAAAATCACCTGCTTCAAGGTTCCTGGAACCATCTGGGTGGGCTTAGAGGCATTTTATTTACAAATGAGGGTGTGTCACCCCCAAACCCTGAGACAGGCAGGGCCAGAAGGAGCTCCTGTGCCAGGAATTCACCTTCCCAAGCAATCCCCGTGGAATTATCCATGGCACAAACGCTCTCTTTTCCAGCACACCTTTGCTCTGTATAGCAGTGGAGCTATTCCAAAGCTCTACCTTGATTTTTTGGGGTTTTTTTGACCAGCTCTTGCTGTACTTTCCAGCTGTTTTTCCAGCTACAAACTCCCAAAGTGAGGTTTCTGGTGCAGGCAGTGACCAGCAGGAGCTCTCAGCACCCAAGGAGAAGGGGAATTACATGCATTAACTGGCACACATGAAAGGCCTGGCAGGTTCCAAGCCCAAAACCTGCACTCCTCACGGTTCCCAAGCTGGAGGAGCTCCCTGGGATGCTGAGGGACCCATAGGTGTGGAAATGAGTGCCCTGAGGCACTGGGAGCACTGGGCATTCCCCAGCACCACTGATGTTATTGTGCTCTGCTCGAACAGGTGAAAGGGTGAACTGCCAGCTCCACGTCCTGCTCATGCCAAATCCCCCAAAAGCCCACATTCCATCCAACCTCTGAGCACTGCAGACCACGCTGAGGGACACAGTGACCACCCCCTGCTCCAGCTACACTGAGAAAATCTGAATTTCTTGCCCTGCAGAGCTCGTGACAATTCTATGCTTTACCACCGCTCATCACCTTACAAACTTCTCTGGATTTGGAAAGCTGCTTTCCAACGGGATGGTTCCTCCCAAAAACCATCCAGGGGAGACTCTGAGGCCAGCTGGGACTGATACACAGTGGAGGAGATCAGGAACCCTGGGAGAGCCTTGTTTGTTTTGGGAAACTTTCACTCCCCAGTGAAAAGCCAAAGGGAAGATGTCCAGATGAGCAATGCAGCTGCATCCAGGGTAGAGCTGCTTCCAGCTGGGCTCAGGGAACCTCAGAGAAAAGGAACAGGCCAAAATAAACCCCAAAACCCAGAGGAAGATGTGAAAGCCCAGGGTCCTGACTCAAAGAAAGGAATCCTACAGCAGGTAAACTTCTCCGGATGAGCAAAATGGAAGTTTTCTGGCATTTTTCTTTGAGAAGAGTAAAGGACATGAAGACACATGGCTACCTGGTGGATTCTTCCAAGGCTAAGGAGCCCTGGGGCACTGAGGGATCCCCTGATGGGAACTGCACCATGGCAGTGCTTCCACAGCACCTTTTCCAGCAGGATTCCCCTGCTCCTCGATCTCCATAGTAACAGTCAAATCATTAATTAGCATTTCAACAGCAATAAGAGATAAAGTGGGGGGAAAACAGCTGAACTTCCAACTGCATTGTCTGGAACTGCAGCAGTGCTGCTTGCTGACAGCAGTGACTGTCAGGGAACGACGGAATGGTTTGAGCTGGAAGGACCCCAAAGCCCATCCCAATCCATCCCCTCTCATGGGAAGGGACACCTCCTGCTGCTCCAGCCTGGCCTTGGCCACTTCCAGGGATCCAGGGGCAGCCACAGCTGCTCTGGGCAACAACTGTGATCAAAATTACCAAAAAGTCAGTCCCAGGACATTGATACACCATTTTCAAGGTCTATTTACAGCTGCTTGCTGGCCCACATACAGCAGATTTGTTCATTCCTTGGCTCACATATAAACATACATAAAGTATCGTAACGCTGAAACAGCCACCACACGTGAGCCAAGTCATTTTCACAACGAACATGGCACCATTTTTTAATGAAATTGTTATCAAATCACTTAGGAATGCAGCAAATCCTCCAGTGGGAGATGCCCAGCACAGCCTCCCTGGCTGTACGTGGTCGGGTCACTCACACAACGTTCCTGCTGCGCGGAATCCAACACTGCAATTTAAACCCAACTCCACTTCCAAAAGCCACATTATAATTAACAAACACATCTAGCCGTCCCATTTTCTTAGCTTTAGCTGATGAAAACGTATCACTTCACAAAGTATCATTGCTGCCCTTGTCCCTCCTGGGGCCCTGCAGGGCTGACCACGGACAACGCTCCAGCCCTGCTGAGCTCGTGGTCCCTGCACAGGAGCCACCTGCACTGCTCTGCCCTGGAATGGTCATGCAAACACCAAATAACCAAGGGCTCAAGGTGGCCAGATTCTGCTTCAGAACAGGTTCAGCCTCGCAAGACTTGGCATACTTCATTTTCTGTTAACGCAAAGCAACTTGGAAACTCTGGGCAAGCAGACGGTTCCACCAAAATAAATATATAACTGTTTAAACTTCTACATTTTCCTACCAACTCATGATCTTAACACTGACCACGGGGTCCCTCAGCACCTCCCCGAATCAGTGATTCTTGCTGCACCCACACACAGATCAGGACTTCACATCCAGAGCTCAGCATGCAACTTCTGCCAGCATTCCATCAAAAAAAAAATGGGAATTACATAATTCAAACCTCCTTAATAAAAGGGTATCTTGTAACTTCACAGAAATTAGTACTTGAAGTTGGAAAATGCTTTACAAACCCAAGCTGTGACCTGAAAAATACTGACATTAGCTACAGACTCTTCACACCAGAGCAGCTGGGATGTGGCAGCAACACCAAGTGGCCCCAGCAGCAAGGTGGGAATTGGCTTCCTTGAAGGAACAAACCAGTTCTCTGGTTTATTCAGAGCCCCCTACAAGAGTCCCCATGAAAACTGTGTTTGAGATTGAATAGTTTCATACACCTCAACGTTTCTCAATTTGATCAATAATGCAGAAAGGTTCTGCTAAAATCTCCATTTCACAGGGACAGGAAAGAAGCCACTGCTGCTGTCTCATCCCAGGAAATCCAGAGGCCAATGTCCCCACAAATGTGTGCCTCACCATTAGTGTTTCCTTCAGAGAAGGAGTTGTATTTGGACCCCAAGTCAGACTTGCATCAGTTCAGATTTTATAGAGACCCAGAACTAAGCAGCCTAAAAACATATCAGAGGTTTAGATTCTGGTTTAGACCAACTTTTGAGTGGATAAAAATCTCTGGGGAATAAGAGAACCTTTTTCCACAGCACTCATCTGCTTCCCTCAGAATAATTCCAGGAAGAGACAGAATTTCAATAAGGCATCTCTCTGAGGGCTGCAGTGAGAAGATCCCCAGGGGAGCACCCCAGCCCCACGGAGCTCCTGCTCTCAGACAAGCCCCATTACCTCCCATACAGAATCAAGGGGGAACAAGTACAGCAAATTTGGAGCCAGGGTAAATTGGGAAGTGTTTTCCAGTGCACTCCACAGGCACAGCCTGACAGAGCACAGCCAGAGCTTCCACCTGCTGAAATGGGGAAAAATGCTTAAAATCCCACTGTAATTCCAGACCCTGAGAAAATGGAGACTGGGGGAAGAACCCATAAGCAGCAGCATTACAAACCCCACAGATACCTTCCATAAATATCCATGGGTTCCTTCTGCTGGAACTGGGAGAAGAAAACGTGCCACCTACATAGAAACAGAGCAGAAATCCCTGTCTCTGGAGCTGTGCCTGTCCCATCCCAGGGAGAGCCAGAACATGCCCAGCACAGCAGGAAAGCTTTCCTGGCCCCTCCAGGGATGGACACTGAATACAGCTCATCAGATTTGTGGCAATTTCCCTCAGGAGCCTGGAAAAGCACCCTCAGACCACTCCATGCAGCTCAGGACTCTCTAGAAAGAGGAGGAAAAGAAGAGGTGCTGCTCTCTAGATCTGAAGGGGGATAAAGAGTTGTTTCCAAGAAATCCACATAAATTTGAGATAAATACCCCTGCAGCCTATCAGGGGCTGCCAGCACAGCCACCTCCAGGCACACACAGAGAAACCCTCACGTCCCCACCCTTTTCAGAGAGATTCCAGCACTGGGGTGAGCTCCAGGACCTGCCTTGCACTACAATTTATGAATATTCCCACAGCAATCACAACCCAGCTACGCTCAAACAGCAGCAGCTACCCAAGTGAAAAGCCAAAGCACACAGAGAATTCCACTACTCCTAAAAAAAAAAAAAACACCACCTTTCAGCGTGTTTGATTGTGACAAAATTGTAGCATCAAGTAAAATTTAATTAGATGGCTTTCGGAACGAAAGTAGGTGATATATTCTTGAAGTTCCTTTATTTTGCCCTGCAGATAAGATGTATGCTGAGATCTACAGTTTTTAAAGCTTGTGTTGTCTGTGCTACTTGATAAAAAATACAAAATAAGCTGATACTGTATTCAAAAACACAGACACTTGTGTGGGCTGAAGAGCCCAAGGTTTAATTTGTGCCACTGCAATAAACACAAAGGGCAGGAAAGATGTCATTCCTGGGAAAACAAGTTCTCCTTTAAGGGTTTTAATTGAAAGTCTGACACGGACAACCCAGTTCCTAGGAACTGGGGGCTGACAGAAGCCTAAATTCAGGAATGACCAAGCTGTTTGGAGATCTCCAGTGAATTAGGGGAGGTCAGAATGACATCACAGAACGGTTTGGGTTGGAAGGCACCTCAAATTTCATCTTGTTCTGCCCCCACCTTGGGCAGGGATACCTTCCACTATCCCCAGTTGCTCCAAGCCCCTTCCAGCCCGGCCTTGGACATTTCCAGGACTGGGGATTAAGCTCCAAGAGGCTGAACTTCACCAAGCCAGCCAAGGCGAGAAGGGTGGATGCTCTCTGGAATTAAAGCCATAATTTAAGGGGAGCTCACAGCTCAGGCTCCTCCTCCTTTCCACTGCTCCTAAGCACAGGTGAGGTGGGACC